TTTATTTGTGGATGCGGCTAGGCTATACACTCATCTGAGCCGTCTGTGTTGAGCAATGTGTGAACCATTAGCTCCCACTACTAGTTGACAAATACAATGTAATAATTTTTAAAGCGGTAAATAATTTGAAAAAATGTACAATCTGCTTAAATCGGAGATGTGAAGAGGTTGTAAAAATGGAAAGGGGAAGTAAAATGACGTTGAATTCTCAAGTTCAGAATGTTAATCAGTCGCTGCTTTAGTACTGGCGTACCGGAGGCGAAACGCGAGCAAATACGCAGCAATGCTACAAGTCAAAGCCGACCACTCCCTCTGCCGTTAGCGGCGGCCGATTCGAGCACTCCGTTCATCAGTCCATAGCCCATCCAAGGAGTACACGTAAGTGCAGTTCCTACAATTTCAAGTAGTGCAGAACATGTTCACAGCTCGCCGACAAAAGTCGAAAGCGATACTGTAACTTGCAAACAGTTCAAATATCAAGCTCTGACGGTAATGGGCTCGTCACTGCAGGAAAAACACAAAAAAAGCCGTCAGGAGCAGTTTAAATAAGGGATCTTTTTTGTAAGTGATGGACGAGTCTACGATCAGGCAGTCTTGGCTACGCCGGCCGCGCGCCGAGACGAGGGAGCAGAATGGAAGACGAAAAAGCATGGGGGACAAGCGAGACGCAGACACCAATATAATCTTAGAGGTCTTGCTGCATATAAGGACGAGCTGTACACGGATGCAAGTAATAAGTCGTTAGCGTTATGTCACTCGCTTTCGAGTTTGTACACACCCCTTAAAGGCAAAGTTCGGGGTTGAACTGATGTGTTATTCCTCCAGAACGAGAGGGTGAAGATGTAAAGTGTAAGGCCAAAAAAACAGGAAGAAACCGTCGAAAAAACCGAAAATAAAACCCTCCCCAGTAAAGCAAAGGAACAAGTAGCACCGATTTGCGGGCGGGACCCATGCTGGCGGGTGGAGGTTCATGGTGCATCATTACCGCCTTCGGGCTCATCGCCTCAGCCTTGTAAACTCCTGGCTCCTCCATACTTCTCATGTAATAGCTAAATTTCGTGTAAGGACTAAGGAATCCTGGATTTTGCTTTGAAGTCCTTTTCGGGCCTGAGAGGAAAAATGTGGGGGATCTCCGCCCGATATAAACGGACATACATATACTGATACAAGTTTGGAAACATGCAAATATCTTGAGCAGGTAGCTCGAACATGATGCCATCTCTTGAAGAAGTACGGATGGAGACTCGTATTTTTGGAAGATGGGGAGGGATAGCTTTGCCGGGGGTCATTTCTGACGGTTTTTTGACGGCTGTAACACAATGTTCACTCTACTCTCCGCTTTTGGCCAGTGTAAGACTTTTCGCGAATTGAGCGATTCGCAAGGTTTGACACCGGCTTTACGACGTTTGGGAAACAAGAACTGGGCAGAGTTCGAGCGTGTCAGTTGATCTCAGAGTCAAATATGTTAGAAATAGCCATTATAGAGAGGTAGGTGGCTCGCTGGTGGGGGGGGGATGTCGTAACTGAGGGCACTTCTCAGGCTGATGATGGTGATAGACGGGGGGACGGACCCCACTGAAGCAGGGTCAACCGTTACGTTGGACCGACATTGGACCGACGTTGGACCGACGTTGACCGCTCTCCGCGCCGGCATTCGCACTCGCCTTGCGCGAGCCGTCTGTGTCTCCGTGCGTACGTTCACTCTCGGCATTACTCTCACACGCTAGAGAGCCATGCGTTGGACTTTGTCCAACGGAGGGTTGACCCTCCTCTGAGAGGTGAGGGATCGTCAAATTTCGTAGGAAAATATGAGCACAACGGTTGCCTCGTTCCATCACCTGTTTTGGTTCTTATAGGAGTTTCAGTTCTTCTAAATTTACCTCGGTATTATGGTTTTTAAATTGATTACTTTTTAGTAAGGAGACGGTTGTAGAGCGTGAGTCCACGTTCGGCTCCCCAACTCGAATCGCTCAAGTGTTTCCGTTGATACCAAAGGATCACGCAGTGCCGTATATCCAGCGATCCGTGCAGGACGTTTCCACACAGAACAAGTGTGAGTGCGTTTAAGTTCACTTTGGGAAGTATCGAATTGGGAGTGTCCGGGCCAGACCCAGGAATGAATATTAGCGCTATGGACTATCCAGAAATTCATTTTCAGCATTTCTTTTTGTAAGTAACGGACCTCATCGAGCACATTCGGTCGAACTACTTCAACCCGATGTCAGCGAAGAAATACGGCGGGCATCGTTCGATGTGCCCAGGGGCACTGGACGACAGCTGCCAAGTACCGAAGGACTGGAGGTGAGTGGAATGTTCTTTTTCGGCCTGATAAAAGGCGACATCCTCAAAACCTCTACTTCAATAGCATTTCCAAGCGTTTCTTCAGCAGTAAGTGAACTTAATAGTTGTGGCTTTTTTTTCAAAAGCGAACCATACATGAAATGAGAAGCGCTGTGACTGGTCAGGGCTGAGATGGCTTCAAAGTGGAAAAGTAGTGTTTTTTCCCGTCGATGGAAACAGGAGGAGTTTGCGTGAGGAAGAAAATTCAATCTCAAGAATTTCCTCAGAACTGGTTTTGATTGTGTTGACCACTTTTTCGCAATATTCAGAAGTTACATTTTTAGTTTTATGCATATTTTCTTGATATAATTGTTACACTATCTGAGGTATTTTAGCGCTTTGTTCGCGTCTGGCGAAAGATGGCCCTATTACTAAAGATTTACATAGATAGATAAATCCTTCAATGACATGTTTTACCCAGCAGAAGGTAGTAAGTGGCGCTTCTACTAGTCCCTGACATGCCAGTGTTTTCCACAGAATCCATCATCGCATACGAATCACGCAGTTAGGGTGTCGGGGACTCAGTGACATCAAGTCAAGTCTTTGCTTCATGAAAATTAACTTCAATCGCTTCCAACATTTATTTTCTTGAACAGTTGTTTCTCACATATCTTCCTTAAAAGAAGCGTGATACTCTAAAATCATATATAAAAATGAAAGCAAATTGGATATGAAAAGCAAGTTAAAACAAAACGCATTAATAAAATTAACAGATTCAAGATCGAGGTGGCTCGTTAGCCACGAGAGTAACACTCGTTGGGCTTCACAATCCCAAATCTTAGCGAAAAAAAAGAAAATAAACTGAAATGTGGATGAACGCTGAGAAACAAACGATCCCGTTTGAAAATCCGCTCATCGACCCATGCTTATGGTAAAGACAAGATAGTAGCATTATTCACTAAATGGGGGTGAATTATTTCACCTTAAAGAACAATTAACAATAACAAAGCTGACTCTAAAGTAACCCAAATTGCGTTACCCGTATATACGACACATGTGTACAGTAACGAGTATTACGGAGCACAACTGAGCAATTCTAAGCTTTAAATCTATATGAACGTTCTGAGACAAGCACGCATAGTCTGATGGCCGCGGGGCCGAAATCGATAACATGGCCGAGACGCGCTCCTTGAACTGGGTTTATACTCGGCGAACTTGCAGCTGGCCGCCTGTTAGTTTAAAAGCCAAGCGGATGCCGATTGTATCGCTTAGCCACAAAAGATATCTTTCAGAGAAATAGAGGGAGGCTAGAAGAGGGAGAAGAAATCGCCAGCGTTGGTAGAAATAGGCTGACTAAAATAGGGCTGCGCGCGTCAAAGTTCGCCAAGTCTAAACAGCGTTGGACCGCGGAAAGGAGTCTCAGAGAATGTGAACACTTTCATGATGGCAACAGTTCTCCACTTCATCTACAAGTTTCGCGATCTATCGATTCGTACAACTATCGATAATATAGAAAAATATGAGCATAGCCTAGCCGAGCATAAATCATTCAAGACTTCGCTGCTGGTGTTTTCTCTCGATTTTCCGTGTCCGACGATTGCAGAACATGGGCAAAACAACGCTGCACGGTTCTTGCCACCACATCTGCTGCCGAGCAAATATTGTAATCGACCATAATTTTCGGCTCCAACGACGTGTGCATACCAACTTGATGTTCTTCTTGCGCTTCGATGTTTTCAGACGTGAACTTGCATTGTTTACACCTGAATTTTGGGCTATTTAAGGATTAGGTCACCAAAAAATGAGGCGATTACAGAAGTCATTCTGAAAAATAAATATGTTAAATTCATAACCAAGCGACGAGTGTCATCAGGTACTCGTTCTCGTTTCTAGGCATGTTGAGTTACCTATGGAGCGCGTCACCTGTTTGCAATTTGCTCATGGTCAGCGAGGCGTGAGGAGAGGAAGGAGAGGGTGGGGGGGGGGAGGAGGGGAATTTCATACTTATTGTGTTTTGCTATATTCACTCGCACAGACCAAATAAACTTCTGAGGAAAGAGAAATGGTAGTCCGAAACCGATCAACCATCCCGTGGCGAAAAGGGTCAATGCGCCCTGGAAGCAGGGTCAGCCATGTCGCAAAGAATTTCTTGAGCTGGCGACCCTCTCTAGACCTCGATAAGACCCGAGGACCCCGCTTCTAACGATCTACAGGTCCATGTTGTCGTGGAACCTGTTTTTCATCTTCGCATACTTTGAACATCTTCGAGATTTCACCCCAAAACTAAGAAAAGTGCGGCGACCAGGAGGTATAACGCTGCTGAACGGGTAAAACTCCTTTTTCTCACGTCTTCTCCAAAAAATGTTTTTTTTTCTGCAATTACTCTGAAAATCACAAAATACAACCCCGCAATTCCCAAGGCCAATTACAATGGACAGTTGACTGTCTGGAAGAGCTTCGCTCTACCATTTGTGGGTCAGCCTCAACAACTTTAGGCAGCCACAGGTCCATCACTGATAATGAATTGTGGTTATAATTTGACCATCAATTATTTCGCCTTCAAAGGTCACTTGGTAGTTCTCTGTGCAATGCGGCAACGAAAGCGTAAAAACCTTTGCGGCACAACCAACCGACCCAAATAACCACACCCTATACGAACACTGGGAACTCCACCACTACTTTAATGCGAAAATACATATTCTCCTATTCAACAATTTGCGACGCCTTTCTAAGGACGCAGTACAACGAAGACTTTGGCCCCATAGAGATGCCACCTTGCTGATGATCAGGGGTCAAAGGCAAAAAAAAACTTGCATGGTACGAATTTATCCGTGAATAATACGTTTGGTTCGACGTGACTAGCTAACAACATTCTAGTAACAGATAAAGCCGTTTTCATCCCCACGTGATTTACATAGGAGACCTTATATGCGTAACAGGGGTGACGAGCATCCCATTGAGTTATCGGGGGACGGATTTCGCCACTTGCTGGCGTTGCCCCAATCGTAGGCTGTGGAACGACAGAAGTCGGTATCGCTGCGGTGATAGGTACGGTACAGAAGCTTGTCGGTTCAAGTACAGCATCAGGGTGTGGTGCTCGCTGGCTTAAGGTATGGTGCGGCGGTAACAGTACAGAAGCTTGTCGGTTCAAGTCACAGCATGTGATTTCACGTGCTCGCTGGCTTAGGTATGCTCGGGTAAACAAGGCCAGCCTCAAGGTGTGCTCCCAACTGGCTTCTCAGTTGTAATTGGACGACGCGTGGCGCAACCCGATAGCAGCTCGTCTACCGAAGTGCGATTCAGTTCTCTCCCCGGCAGGTCACTTAAAAATAAGACCCCACTCATTTGCTCGAAGCAAGCCCAGGCAAAACCGTAGGCTTACGTATAAGCATGGGTGAGCATAAGCGTAAACCTAAGCCTGAAGCCAAGCGTAACCTTAGGCTTGAATGATCGCGCAGCTCTGACGACCTGACTTAGGAGGGGGCTGAGCGTGTCCCGGTCTACCGTACAATCGTTCGAAGGAATTAGTGCAAAAGTGAAAGCAAAAATCAATACCTGTACACAGGATGTTGATGTGCATGCCTTGTCATCGCAGCTTTTGTCGCTTTAACAAGTGTATCGCATCGACTACATTTCAATTCCGTCAAATGCTTTTCTTCCATGGTTCTGAAATGTACGAAAAGCTAGACTATGTTATAAATATGCATACCACGTGCACAAATCAATAATTGTACAGCATTTTCAAAATCCATTTAGCACACTTATTGCACGCCATACCAAAGCACCTGTTATGCACCTGATGGAGAGTACCACGTACAACCTGGTACAGTGGTAAAACCTACAGGCCCTCACAAGCACTTTTCCGCTGTACACTTCCCACTACTGGTCAATCATCTAACCAATCGTGGTGACTTACTGTAACCTTGGCCAACTTGGGTAAGAGATATAGTCGGCGAATTGCAGCCAGCTGCTCAAGTTAATGAGGCGACACAGCTGGCTGTAACTTCGCATGCCATACAGTAATCCTATCCTAATATTTGAACAATAAAGAGCAGAAACGCTGAGCAAGCGCAGCCTAGCTACATTGTAGCTGGAGATCGCAGCCAACTTTGGCTGCAAATTCGCTCAGTAAAAATGCTGGTAAATCGCTCGTAAATGAACCAAAAGGGAAATAATCGATTACTTACTTGATAATGAGGTCGAACTCTCGCACTACTTCTTTTTTCAATCGAGGACACGCTCGCGGAAAACATTCTTGAATGACGGCGCACAGTTTCACGATATCCCTTCGATCCTCGAACAATTCCATCTGAAACGGCCAATACTTCTTCCTTTGTGGATATTAGGGCATGAGTTAGAAGAAAAAGGTAGAATGACGTACGTTGTTCGGATGATTCACTCGCATATGCTCATATATTCTGTACTTATCGCTTTCGCTCAGTCCACACAACTTGCACCAAAATCCGCCGGCTTCTGCGTGATGGTTCACGTGAGTGTGAATGGCATTATCGTTGCTCAACACTTGGCAGTCGCACAGCGCGCAGTTCAATAATGGACCAGGTTCCCTGCAATCAATCATTTTCAAGATTTACTTGGTCCTTTTTGAGGAGAGAGGCTTGGGTCGAAATCAACTTGGTACAGTTTCGTGACACGGTCTATATTTCCTCTCAAAGCTGAGAAATTGAGGATAAAATCATAAATTTGACAAGCCTCGTACGGGACATGAAATGCCCAACACCCATGCAATTGCATCCACTACTCGAAATTGCAGTAGAATTCGCGGCGTATCATTTCAAACGATAGGATCACTGCTAATCCACCAGGAATTACTACTGTCACAGAATGAAACAGAAATACCATCACAATCAAATCTGCAGCGACATCCTCATCAGTGTGACAGCAGTAGCGACAAAACTATCTGTGGACCTAAAGTCACACCAAATTTGACTGGGGGCAGTCACGTCGCACGGTCACATTTATACGCAAGTCGAATCGCAGTCACTTCAACATGTTTTTATCTTCAAATCACTCCTAGTGCGATCATTAGCTTTGAAATCATAATTTATGATTAAAATATTCTTTATTGAACTGATTTACTTTAAAAGTAATTAAAACTATATTTTTGATACCATTCTCTACTCCCATGAAAACTAATTCTGGCACCTAAAACCTACATAAGACGAGTGAGTGCAAAATAAACAAGCTATTGAATCGCTCACTAGAAGAAAAGCCTCATCAGACGTTAAAGCAGAATTTCAATGCATAAAAAGTCTTTCTGATGCAGTCCAATTGCAAATGTAGAATCCCAATATCTCGTCACACACTACAGTACACAAAGACCATACCAAAAGAATATTATAATATTAAAAATACAGAGAATAAATTAATTAAATAACAAGGGTGTGATTCCAGAAAAAACCCATTGTCGACCTTCCCCCCGTCCCTACGTGGAGCAGGGGCACCATATTCAGCGGCACAAATTGTGCACAATGAAACTGAAATGGGGAAAAATCGAAGATTTTTCATGCCTAATTTCAATAAAATAATGTCCTGATTGGGAGACCCCACAGTTCCAACCTTTTCTCATCTCAAATAGTTTTCTACTTAGCTATGCAGTTGTACCACCAGATGTCACTGCTCTCCTTGGACTGAACGCCACTTCCCTCATTGACCCTACGATCATAAAGCCGCCCGATACGATTGTTAGTCCTGACGCGCCAATATGTCAACCTGTAAGACGCGCGCGCGCAATAAAAAACAGTCAGAGCGTACCTCGAGCGGGCGTCCGTGCTAATTCACTGCGTATACCTAAGCACCATACCTCCAAGAGCTAACCGCACGAAATAAATCTGGAATTCTTCGCCGCGGCCATGAATCAAAAGGCGAGCTATCCGGCAAAAGATGAGTCCAATTGTCAAGCCTACTGTGTAGGTGGAACGGCCCTTCTACGTTCCCTTGCGTATATCATATGAAACTGCGGCTGGGAGTCACCCGATCAGAAAGCCCCGACCACCTTAACCGGAAAAAATGTCAAAAATCATCAAGCATAAGGCAAAACAACGAGTCGACAGTAGGGGCTAAGTTCCATCCCCGTGTCATAGAAATAGATGCCTACCTTTGCCGTGCCACTTTTCACTTTGCGATAGAAGTCGATGTAGGCACGACGGCGATCGCGACCTTCTGGACGATTGTCGACAGATTCAATGTCGATAAATAGCTCAGGCTCTTCGTCTTCTTTTGAGTTCGCTGGCGGATCCACTGAAGTGCTTGGCGAACAAACCGCTTCAGTTGAGGTTTCTGAAAACACACGTACATAGCCTTTTGACATAGAGTCCATAGATTTGATCAATATGTACGTTTTACACGCACTCTGCTGCTAAGACAATTAGCAATGATCATGAAGAGACGAAAGTCAAATACGCACAAATAGCAACTTATAAGCCTACATTTCTAAGAACCCACTCCCTCCTCCCTTAACATCGGCTTCGAGATGAATGAGTCAGGCCAACACCTCGCAGCTTATGTCGCCACCATAAAGCGCCAATGAGAAAATGTCCCGGGACTAACAGCGGCACTGAGCTCTAAAAATATTCATCACGACATTTATCCCCATTTCCCCTATCTTCCTTTTTCTCGATCCCTAACAAGATGGCGCTTAAGAATTCGAAATATAGCGCGAATTATAGCCTATCGCGGAATGAGCGTTTAGGCTTCAAAACGAATGAAACGTGACTTTGAATAAATTGAATACTATTATTATTTGTTTTTATTTCTCACCATCAATAATAAATTCAAACCAACGGATATGCCGTAATCGATCAATTCGTACAACGATACGACTGAATTTATGCAATTTTTGGTGGATTATTGTGACAAAACGGCAACTGGGCAGTGGAACGAAGAAGCTCAAACTGGGCAACCATTTTTTTAATTTTTATATTCATTTATTTGCAACCTAATAAAGCCCTTTTCCAATCTATTCGAGTCACATTGCATTTGTTCCGAGGCACGAACGGTCAGCCCATGACAGGCTATGATTTGTGCTACCGCTCAACAACAACCGATGTTTTTAGCGTCACGTGGTTCAAACGGCGTACACGGCGACCGTTTTGATGAGAGGTCCGATGTTGACCTGGTTCCCGCCAAGGTCATACTCTACTCTTAGGCATGATATGGGAAGAATGATGCTCGTCTTAGTTACTAAGCGGTTTACTCGACGACTGGTCAAAAAAGCGCAAACGGGACAAGGTTTGGGACATGATGTCAGAGACAAGCATTTCCAGGAAGAATGATGACATTTCAGAGCAATTTATGGTGGGAAGAATCCATTGATCGACTCACCCTTGCCCAAAAACGTTTCTCATTTGTTTTCTGGTGTCCAAAGATAGACAAAACAGTGAAAGTAGGAGATGTAAAGCAGGCAAAAGCGGGTGATAGCGTCGGCGTAAGGAATTAAATTCGTCATCGCGTTAATCAGCTGTTTTTTCGAACTTCTGTTCCCTTTTGAGATCATCTAACAAAGCCGATCAGGAAGTAAATAGGTCTAAAAATAACTAATCAATTCTCGGAGAAGTTTCTCCTCTCCCTTTACCAGAAAAATCGTCATTTTGTGCCCATCTGCGCCTGTTGCTCACCCTCCAAGCTATCAATCCCACGTTTTTCTATGAAAGGAAAAGCCTTCGCGTAAGCATCAACGAAATGTAGCCGGACCGATGAGTAGAGTGTGAGGATCACACATAACTGAGGATCGTAATTTCGAAATGAGTTGAAAAGGATAAATGAAGAATATCGGCTTGATCAAATCCGCGTGGGATGGCGCCCCACATCTTATTTTCCATTGTCAGTAATCGGCGTTTAGAGTTTGAAAGTGCGATTTGGCTCATACAAAACTTGCGGTGCAAATTTAACAAAAAGTATGTATTTTTAACTCCCCATACAAGCCTGACACCATCTGACCGACCCTGGAGGAAGGCTTGCTTGACCCAGACGTGCTTCAGGATTTGATCTGTGTATCGCGATGGTAGTACGCAGCGCTCCTTGCAACATACTACACACACTACCGCCCCAATTCGATGATAGAAGGGGAAATCGTGTCCTACTGCGAAAAGGCAAGTAGCTTGTACTGGAAGAATGAAAAAAATAACAGGAATCTAATGCCTTAATTAGTAAACGAGTAATACGGAGAAACGATTGTTTTTGAAAACAATAGCGAAATAAGATTCACTTTAGTGAAGCGCCATAAATAACCCTAAATAGGCTATATACTAAACCGGAATTCTACCGTACTGTTCGCTAGTTGTCCAGTTGAAGTTTAATCGAATTGACATGTTTCGCGGATTTGAAGGTTTTTAAGGAACCCTCGTTCAACTCAACTAAGTCCTCTAAAATCAATCCTCTTTGAGAAGTAATGCGCTATTTTCAGGGAAACCAGTTTGAGGTATTCACATCAGGAAATAGATAATTCAAAAAAGAATTAAACTTTAAAAAATCAGCCACATTTGTGATTGGTATTGTGTTGTACTTTAGGGGCATTTTATCAATGCATTTCCGTATAAGTACACCTACGGTACAGTCTGCGACTGTTTTCTTTTCCTTAGTTGTTAGTACAAATGTGTTTACCATTGGATGGTGATGTCTGTGTCTGGTACGATGGATTCGGCGTGAAGGCAGACGGAAGTACACGGGCACTGGCACGTGGTGGTTCGGCTTGAACGGCTTGTGTCGGCAAAGAGGCAATCTGCGGTTGTTGTTCGAGAAGTAAACGCCGCTTCTGATCCTCGTCACTGATAGTGGGTAGCACAAGACGTGCCCGTTTCGGTATTGGAGCTACCAATCCGCAAGCTGAGTCCGTAGAGGACGGCGGCATGTATGATGTAGTGGTGGGAACCGTCTGAGAGAGAAAAAAATTGATTGATGGGTCCTGTGACGAAAATTTCCTTCAATGACTCACCGCTGTGTTTAACTGAGAGTAGATAATATTGTCGTCGAGTTTTGATGACGCTACAGATGTTGTTGGAAGAGTTGCTGGTACGATGAGCGGTGAGATCGACACAGGAGCTGAAAATTCATAGTGAGAAGGAATCTTGATGAGGGAACTTAAAGGCAGTGAACACGATGGCTGAAAGGTGGTACAATTTTGGTGAAGAAACGTCATTGGAGGACTTGATCACCCAATGCACAGGGTACGCTACGTTGCGGTCCGAACGGGGACATTTGTCAGTCAAAACAAACGCAAAATAAAAATAAAATAGGTCAAACGCGCCCGAAGTAAGCAAACCAGCCCGTTTGGCGTTTCTGCTGGGGCCGTATGCTGAATGTTGGGGAAGAGGATGGCCCCCCGGCGGTCGATGGACTACTTCAACTTGGTCCTTAAAACCGCCTCAATTTGATGCTTACCTCAGAACTAAGCCTTAAAGGGAGGACGGACGGCCGAGCCAAGGCGCGCAGGGTCTGCCCTCTCTCCAAGGCTTAGTCCTGGGGTAAGCAAACCAGCCCCTTTGGCGGAGCTGCTGGACCTAGCTGCGCAACACTTTGCCATCACTCTCCTACCGTACCGACCGAGTTCAAGTAGTCCGTCGACCTCGGGGACCCCATCCCCTCCCCAACATTCAGCGTTCGGCTCCAGCAAGAAACGCCAAAAGGGCTAGTTTCCTTACCTCAACGCACCCCCTCTTGCTCCAAAAAAGGCGCCTGAAATATATTTGTTCGCTAACTGCTCAGAAGCTCCAGCACATGTGACAAGTTCAGACATAGGTAATTCCTTTTGTTAACAGCATTATGAATATTTGCAACAATATGACCCCGCCCTCCCCCCTTCCTTCGGATAACAGACCCTTATTCGCTCGTGCACCTCTTACCGAAATTTGACTGGGTACGTAATTCTGACAGACTGCTTCCCCAGCCTTGAATCTCTAGCTCGAGTTTTTTCTCAAGAATCTTTATTACACAGTGTGGCTGCAGAGGGCTGCAAGAACAGCGAGAGTCAGCAAGTTGCCAAATTCCGGCGGCTGTGAGCGCCTAATTGATTCGCATGCACTTTGGTCAAGGATATCACAGCTGCTACGGTCAATCGAAGAGAGAGAAAAGCCCCTTCTCGAACATTCCACATAATTATGTGGTCCATCCCACGAGAATGGCGTAGGCTTCACAATAATGCGAGAATGAAGAAAAAAAACAAAAAACCCTAGAACCCGAAAAACTGGACCCTTTTCTCACGTTCTCATTGTAGGAGAAATCTCATCGGTTCTGACGTCATCATTGTGAACGCTCTGCTCTACGTCTCTACTAAGCAGCTAGTATTTACGGCTAGAGTCCGACAGCGAAAGGTTGGTCAATCGTAGGGCGTGTAGCGTCGCGAGTTTCGATAGTATGGCCCTTTAAGTATTCCTCGACCCAAAACGTAATCTGCGCGAGACTCTTGGCCCTTTACCTCACGAGAGTTAGATGTCGCCTGATATTTGTTTTTGGGGCTGCTACGTATTTTTCGAGAATTTTTGGGATTGCATCATGCTGCAAGGTGAGATAAGACGTTCCCCGGAACCCTCTTAATTTCTTCAAATAAGCCATTTGCAGTGCCTTTCTGTAGCCTTCAGGAGATATGGGAGCCTCACAAGATAACTTATTCACCAGTTCCGTGGGAAGTACATATTTCTGCGGCCTGTTTGCGGCACGTTCGCAAGCTGCGTTTCGCCATGGGAACTTCCATGGAAACCT